GGAAAAAATTCTTTACTGTGAGGATGGTGAGGCACAGGTTGCCCAGAGAGGTGGCAAAAACCCCATCCCTGGAAGCGTTCAAGGCCAGGCTGGATGGGGCTTTGAGTAACCTGGTCTAGTGGAAGGTGTCCCTGCCCATTGCAGGGGGGTTGCAGCTGAGTGATCTTTGAAGTCTCTTCCAACCCAAACCATTCTGTGGGTCTATATGTTAACCTTTATTTATTTGGGAAAGTGCTCTCCTTTACTATTTTCTTTTGATCATTTAGGCCTTCAGAGAAAGGTTAGCTAGTTGGTGTACAAATGATAAAGTATGCCATGACAGAATTTCTTTTCTCGGTTCTGAGATATTTTTCTAATCTTAAAGAATGTTGAGCATAGCACTGAAATAATTTATATGAAGGAAGGTTTCTGCATGTTTTTCCAAACTGGATATTTTGGTTTGTAACTGACAGTTGTCAAACTACATTTGTGAAGACTATGTTTTGACATGTTTTGTTCTAAATAAAATTTTTAGGTATACTTCAAACTGTCTTGCTCTGGTTACGTGCATGAATGATGAGCATAAATTATCTTTCCTGAAGAAGATATTTAATCCTGAGGAGCTAATACATTTCAGGCTGAAGTAAGAACTTTTAAAATCTTGAAAAGCATTTGTGTTTGTTGATGGCTTTCAGTTGAGTTAATAAACATGGATTTCACAGGCTACTAGAAGAATCTCAGCTGCAGAATGTGGAACAAGCCCTTGTTTTGGCCAATCCGGACTCCTCATTTTGGCAAAATGAAAAAGAACTGCAATATACGCAAGGACATATTGTATCGGGCGACCTCTCTGCAAATGTAGTGGCTGTATGTGGTATTGTGCTGCCTAGACTGCAGCTTGTTTCTGAAGAGCAGGTATGTAACCCAGGGTTAAGTCTGTACCTTTTTTTAGTAAGAATTCCTAAATGCAGTGACCTAACTTTATTTCCTGCTTAAAAGGTACCGAGATGCTACAGGCAATGTGTATATCTTTAGATTTCTTGATGTGTGCTGTAAGCTAGTGTTGCAAAGAAGCTCTGCAGTGGAATGAAGCAATAAGGGCCTAACGGTGCTATTCATTTTATCTTCATGTAGTGGTTCTTACAAACATACTACAGAAGAATATTCAGCCTTTCACAATATCTCCAGTCTAAGTTGGGGTGATAGCTGAGTAAAGCCAGGATCTGGCACAGTTGCTTTTACCTGCATGAAGTAGTTTTTTGTGCTATACAGACATCTTATAAACAGCCTTTCTCCAAATATGTTCTTAGCTCTTCTTAAAGAAAGAGAAAATAAGGCTGCTACTTACTCTTCTAGAAGGCAGAAAAAGGGGAAAGTGAGAAAGGACTTATTTTCTCCACTTGAGTGAAGTGTAATGCAGTTTTAGGAAGTCCATCAAAGGCAAATACATTTTTGAGCAAACTGTATTTAACCTTTTTTCTCTTGAGATGCTGTTCATCTTGAACTGTTCATGTTCTTTTTTTGTAGCTGCAGCCAGTATTCTTGACTGTTTTTCTTATTTAGGTACAGTTTTAGCTCTTAGATGAGTATTTCTGTTTAATTTTATCACACTGATCTACAAATGAAGGACAAATAAATGAATGAAGACTACTGATGTCCAGAATTTCTGGGGTAGCAGAAGCAAGGAAAGAGGAATTTCTTCCCAAATTACCACCTCCCCTGACTTCTGTAGTTGAATTTGCTGTATTCTAGCTTTTTTATAGGATTCAAGGATGTGGTTTGAAATACATTGCAGCACAGGAAACTTCAGAGCTGTTTAAGGAGATTCTTACTATCATGCCAGTGTCATTGCTGCTGCAACTGAAGCTAGGCTAGGCTATAAATGGGGTTGCTGAAAGGATACTCATGTCTGTGAGGGAGAACTTCCCCAAAAGGCATGCTTTTATTTTTTTAATAGCCACGGGTATTTCACTAGTCTGGTATGCAGTGTAGTTCCAGTTGTGCTGGGGAGGTTCCAGTTTCAGGTGAGGAGGTCTGATGAAGAGGTAGGAGCAAACTGTGAGGGAAAGGAGGCACTCTTAAAAACTGGCATTGTTACCAGAGAAGTGCCTGAAACTGTATCTGAAGAGAAGATCAGACTTAAATACAAGACACTTGTTTCAGTGCAGTATGTACTCGGATTTCTTTTCCCTGTGCCTTTTGGCAGGAAAGCACTAATTTTTGTGCCATATACTGATATATAAGTGACTGTAGGAGAGTCAAAATATTTGGAGATTATCTGTAGCATTGATCAATTACCATTCAATAAACTGCACTAATTGCATTTTGAATAAAATAAAAATGTTACTGAATTTACCTCTTTTTTTCATGCACTGAGTTTAATGATGTTATACTTTGGCTTGAGCAGAAAGAAGTAAATACAACAGTTAATATTCATGCTTGAGTCATCTGAATCTAACTGCTGTTTGATTTGTCCTGTGATTTGGATCCATTCTGATGACTTAATTTCACTTATATTGCAAATTGTATTTGATTGACATGTGTTATGATTGAATAGTTACTATGCCTGCGCTGATAACTTAGTGTGAACTCTCTTTGGGAACAAATTGTACATACACTTTATTAAGTGTTTCACCTATAATAGGTTTTTGATGAAATCTATCTTTACTATCTGTCATTAAATACAGCTTTAGAATCCTTTATTTTATTTGATATGTGTTGACAGATCTGCAGGCCGAAATTTTCTAATTGTCAGACTCACAGTCCTAATTGTTCTGTGTTTTGCAACCTGTAAAAAAAGTAACCATTTCAGTGTAGTAACTCAAATTTTATGTTTGAACAGGAAAATATCACCAGCCGTTTTGTTTTGGTTGAATCTGCCTTCACAAATCTTCAAAACCTTGCTATTGCTGTAGCGTATCAGAGTCCTGCTTTATTAGAAGGACCAATAGGATGTGGCAAAACTTCTTTAATTGAATATTTAGCAGCTGTTACGGGAAGAACAAAGCCTCCTCATATTTTGAAAGTCCAGCTTGGGGATCAAACGGATAGTAAGGTAACTGATGAAGTTATTTTATGGCTGAATGATCAGACATCATTTTTTACTTAAAGCATGGACGTAATTTTCTAATAAGGTAGTGCTTAACTTTTTACCCAAAGACCCCACAGCCCCAAACTCTGTAGTGTTAGTCTTACTATTGATGAGAATAAATAAATGTGAAGAAAAATCGCAGTTAAGCTTCAGTAGGTTTTCAGTTCTGTGCATAACTGTGCTGTATCTGTTACATTCAAATTAAGTTTTATCAGGATTTTTCTATTTGGAAGAGCCCTATTGGGTTTTTTGTGTGTAAAAAGCCAAACCAAACCAAAACTATTTTGATTTGTATTGGAAAAAGAAAAAGATTCTAAAATGACAAAGACTGCATGGACACTTATTTCAGTTTAAGTGAGCTAGTGTCAGTTTAATTGAATCCCATTTTTCTGTGGTAAGGGTGAGATGAAGTAAGATCCTGTGATGTTGAGGACACTTGCACTTACGTAGTCGTGATCTAGCTCTACCTATATAGGTAAAACCAGAGGTGAAGATAATTTCACATTCTTCTGGTTTTGCTTGTATAACTTTTGAGCTTGAATTGATTTGTGTTGTTTGGCTCAATTTGTATTTAGTTTTCCAAGGTGGTTTGCGTCTACCAGAAGTGCTAGCTGAAGGTTTTTATTAGCATGCATAAGCACCTTGTTTACTTGCCTAGAATAGCTGATTTCACCATCTCACAACTGTTCTCCACAAAAGTGTCTTTTCATATACATGAGTAAGACTGACGTATTAAGAAAAAGTGATAAAGTTCAAGGTACAAAATATGTACTAGTGAAACCATACACTTAGTTATTTAAGGAATGCTTAAATGTGGAAGCTACAACTTTACACAGAAGCAACACTTGACTGGTTTTGTGTCTTTGAATAACTTGCTTTACGATTTCTCTTACTAGCTTAGTCACAGACTTTTGAAAAATGTAGAATAAAGGTCAGTGCAACCCTGGACAGTTTTGTATGTTACATTGTTGATTGTTTGTTAATTATGGTGGGACAGCTCTGTAAATTCACTTCCAATTACCTGGTTTATTTTAATTACTGTCTTTTAGTTAGATTATTATAGATGTGGAGGGGTGAAACTTTTTTTCTTAGTTAAAAAAAGTGTAATGCTGGGCACAGATTATCAGATGGATTGTTTAGTAATGTGCAGGCTAAGCAAGTGTTACTTACTTACCAACTTTGGTCATTCTTGTAAGTTTTTACCCTGAGTTTTTGAGGGATGTAGTGAAGAGGTCTCTAATTTACTGATTGTTTCCATCACAGACGCTGCTTGGTATGTATCGTTGTACAGATGTACCGGGGGAGTTTGTATGGCAACCTGGAACCTTGACACAAGCTGTTACCAAAGGTCATTGGATCCTTCTGGAGGATATTGATTATGCTCCTCTGGATGTGGTATGTGGGTTCATGTTTGCTGTAAGGTACTGGTCTTAAGGCTCATACTAGCAATTTTTGGAGCCTAACCACTATGAGTTCTGCAGCAGCGTGATGAAAATACTACCCCTTTAAAGGGGGTTAGGAAGAATTACCCTGTCTGTCTTTGTTTGTGTGTTAGATGCTTTATTAGTTTTTGTCGTCGTTTGAGTTGTCATGACACTGCCATGGATACCAAATTTCACTCTGAAGGTTTGAATTGACACTGATAACGAGCTATGTGTCTTTTAAATCATGTTTTAATATTTGAAAACAAATGTGGCCCCAAACACCACAGAATATCGCCGCTGGATTGGAGTGGTGCTGTTAATAAGATTTTTTTTTTAGTGGTTTGGGGTGTGTCTGTGTTCTGATTTTTTTCTTTTTTCTTTTTTTTTCCCTCCACATTTCTTACCTCTGGCTTGGATATTAAACATGTGTTGTTACATTAAGCAGTATAGGTTTTAACAGATCTCCTGTTTTCAGCTCCAGAACAACTAGTTAGTTGTCATCATTCCCTTTTGAAGTAATGGCTGCTGAAGGCATGTCTTCTGCCAGCATGATGCCATAGAGATGTCTTGCGGTATAGGCCTGCTGGAAATTCTGCAGATAGTTGCTCTCTTTCTTATCTGTTCTGCAAAGCATCCTTTGTGTGACTAAATAACCTGACAGCTTGTTTATTGGCTTCTAGGCTTCTGAAATACAGGGAATTTATAAGAAAGCCAAGAAATACTGCTTGTATATACTACAGTTTTTCACTGCCAGAGGGTCATGCACTTATTTGCTTCAGTGGACTCAGCTCATTGCACTCATCATAAGCATGCCCTGAGTAGTATCCTGCATTCATCTCTTCCTTTATTCAGGTCCTCCCTGCAGGCATCCTGTCTCGTTTCTCCATATCAAAGTCTCGATGCTTGCCTCCCTCTGTGCTGTGTGATCGTTGTGGTCTTGCTTCCCTTTTTTCCTTCCACCATTATTACTGTCCTTCTGCATGGAAGGATAGATTCTTTAAACAGATACCAAATTGTCCTGGGGGTAGCAGGGTATACATTGCAAAATGTTGATGTTTGAGAATCTTTGAGATGCAGGTCGTCTTTGTTCAGTTAGATAAAGAAAATAAGCTTCTGACATGTAAGTGTAATTAATTTGCAATTCAAAATAAATTGTTTTGATTTGGACTTGCAGTGTAAAGACTGACATTTCCATTTTGTTATCATCAAATCTGGTTACAGAAGACAGAAGATAAACTTTACACCTGGGACTTCCACTGCTGATTAAAATTACCAGGGACTCTGCAATTCCTGTTAGCATCACTTGGAAGTGCAATCTGCAGGAATGGCAGTTGCTGACAACGTAGTGGTGCTCAGTGGAAGCGGTTTAGCATGTCAAGTGTGAAAGGAGTGTGGATGGGCGTGCTGTCTGTTACAGTTTCACGAAAAAGGTTATTTTATAAATTTTCTTCTCTTCCCCAGATCTCCGTGCTGATTCCCCTTTTGGAAAAAGGAGAGTTGCTGATTCCTGGTCGTGGTGACTGTTTAAAAGTAGCGTCAGGATTCCAGTTTTTTGCAACCAGGAGGTGGGCTTCTAAAGTTAAATGTTAAGAGCATGGATATGCTATTTTTAAGTCAAACAGAAAGTGCAAGGTACTTGGGCAGGAGTATTTTAGGAATTTCCAGTTAACAAGCAACAGAAGCCATAAAAGTTGTGATCACTTTAGAGCAGGCTTATATTACTACTGGATGAATCCAGTCTTTGTACAGAAAGGTCACTTCAACAAGGCTGAAGGAATGAAACTTGCTGGGGGGAACCCTACAGAACCAACCCCTCTCCAGAACAAAGTACCACTCTCAGCAATTGCTGCGTGAGGAAGGTTTGTGATTGATATTCACAAGGTGTCTCGACTTGCTGGTTTTAACAGTACCTGTGTAAACTATTTCTTAGTTTTGCTGATCTTGGGGTAGTTGGTAGTCTGGCTACTGAACGATTAGTTTTGTGGGTTTTGATTTTTTTATTCCACCTCTGAGTAGTTGTATACATGTGTGCCCTGGAAGATATTTTTTTAAGTTTCTTGAATAATTTTAACTGAACCCTGCATCTATAATAAGAGAAAGTTTAAGTATAGGCATTTGTGATGTTTTCTAACCAGAAGAAGCTTTAAGGTGCTCTCCCTGATGGTTTCACTGTAATAATGGCTCATGGATCAGATGTCAAAATGTCTTCTTGTGTATTAAGACATAATATTACATCAAGATTAAAGGTTAGGACATCTAGAAGGGAAATGGTTACATGGTTTTCAAATGTTTTGCAGTTTACTTCAAAGCCTTTAAAAAATTTTCCTGCTTTTGTCTTTCTTCCATAAATTTGTTCTTTTCTTTGATTTATCTGACCTATTTTTTCCGGAATTGAGTCTTTTGGATTCAACTCTCTTTTGATTGCCTCACCTCCTAAGATTTTCTTCTTCTGTATATTTGGTCAACAGTTTGTATAGCAGCAAATTGTAGTTTCCATTGGGCTAGTTAGAGCAGATTCAATAAGTCTGTAGGAGTTTCCAGCGGTGGAATATTATTTTTAAAAAAAATCACAACAAACTAACCAAAAACAAACAAAAAAACCACCACAGAAACAAAAAAATAATCCATAAACCCAGTATCTAATGCTTTGCATGTGCAAGGCTACTTCCACAGTGGTTATAACACATGGCTGCATAGTTATTTTTACGGTAAAAAAACTAACACCACAAAACAAACAAAAACCCATGGAACAAAATACATGATTGAAAGGATTGTGAGCCTGAAGAATGAGGAAAAATAATCGGTTAAGACTGTGGAGGGAACAGGGACTGGAGGTGCTTTTTCTGCATCTCTGCAATAGAGGACAGATCCTTTAGGATCTGTGGAAGCTATTTCCCAGGCCAATTCTGTCAGGCTTCTCAAAGGACACTGTATGTTGCTTCGGATAGACTTAATTTATTGTCAGTCGCCCTTCTGCAAGTATCTAAGGAGATTTTACACAACAGGGGCAAAAAACCACTGTGGTAAAAGAACAGATAATTTGAAAAGCAGAGATAGGCAAAGCAGGGTATGTGATAGTCCAGTGACCAACAGCGTGTGTTCTGTGCATGCACATTATGCTGTAGCAGCAGTATGTGAGGTGTTCTTTGCGTAGGAATGCACTGAAAATACTGAATTCTTCAGCAAGACACAGTACGCTCTGTTTCTTCATGTTGTTTTGATTTAGGATATTCAGTTGTGGCGGAGGTTGGTACAGGCAGCAAAGCGGCCACGCTGCTCTTTTGGACAAATACTGGACCAAAATACATCTGGATAACATGAGCAAAGGAGAACTCAAGGAGGTATAGTGTATTTTGCTCTATTGTGGCATGCGAATAATTGTTTTGATTAAGGGCAATAAATGTTTTTCAGTAACAAATTTAATCCTTATTTTTATCTCCCAAGTTCCACAATAGACCTGTATCATTTCAGATTTATCCTGCCGATTTTGAAGTAAATGGGGGAGTTTGTCAGGAAAATTTGAAGTGAATTGGGAAAGATTCCTGTAACTTGCCTTGGCAAACACAGTTCTGCTTTGAATGGATCTAAGAATCAAATTACTTTGCCATTTTGTAGCCCACAGAGATTTAAAAACAGAGAGAAAAAGTCAAAAAAGAAAATTGAGTTTACTCTAATTCTGACTTCTAAGCTTTGAGATGAAAAGGTAGTTGGTTAGTTATCAGTTACAAGTAACTGTTTCTATTAACATCTTTCGTTAGCATCTCTAGGGAGTGTTTGCTTTGTGTTAGTCCTTCAAAAAATTAAAGGAACCCAGGGCCTAAATGAAAATAGAGTTCTCTAGAGATTCTCCTTGTGATACAGAGCTCAGAATAGGATCTGATTTTGAAAGAACCTTGCCTGAGGGAAAAGAGAGTGAGCGGTGAGCTGTATCTAGCAGAAGAGTTGGGGAGAAAGTTCTGAATTTTCTAGAATGAAGATGATAATTTTTCAGTAGGATTCATTCACTAGTTCAGCAGCCAGCAGAGTTGTGGGTGACCTTAAAGCCATCTGGCCAAACTGATGTCAAAAGATGACCTCCAGAAAGGACTGATATTGAACTAAAGCTTCGCTGTTAAAACCTTAAGAAAAAAGGAGGCTTCAGTGCTAAACTTACCACTAGGTTCTTTCTGTTCTTTTTTGTAACTTTTTAGCACAAGTCACAAAAAATATAAATCAAACACAGTGGGAGATTCTATAGTAGTAGAAGAGATGGTGGTAGAAAACACCTACTTGATTGTCTTGAAAATAGACTCATGTGCTTCTGGTTAAAATCTTAAAATCAGTCTGGCAGGGTAGGACCAGTGTTCCTGGCCTGTATCTGTGAAAAGCTTATTTTGGGAAGCAATAACTTTTGTTGGCAAGACTTAGTGGGGAGAACTGAGCTGAAAGAAGATAACAGAAGAAAAATTAGCCCCTTAATGTGCCTCTGTCAGCACAGTGAATAGACAATTTGAATGCTCAAAAAAAATTCATTCATGAAACGGACAGGAGGTAAGCACTTTTGTTGTCAGTTGTAAAGCTGCATGATCATGATTTGAGTTTAGGTAGGGTTGAATGTACCTTTCGGTCTTCCTGTTGGTTTTTGTGCAAATGTATTAAAAGAATTGGAGTAGAGTTGAGTTGGCAAAATTCACTTTTGGCATCCAAATTGATATCATACAAGTCACAATAAGTTTTATTTTCTTCAAATGAGAGATTTCAAAAGAGCAGTTTTATGCAGCTTGCTAGCTTCAGTATCTATTGAAGTGTATCCTATTAAAATTTGGGGGGCTGGTGGTTTCCTGCCGATGCTAACGATTTTTTTGTTTGGTTGGTTGTTTTATATTTTTTTTCAGGTTCTTCAAAGGAGATACCCCAACCTTGCTCTTGTAACTGATCACTTGCTAGACATTTACATTCATCTTACGGGAGACAAGTATCAGGCATCAGAAAGCAGTGCTTCTGGCTCCAGGCACATACCAGAAGATTCATCAGAATCAAGATCAGAAAATAAGAAACCAAACCTGGAAGGACGAGAACTCTCTCTAAGGTTGTCTTTCCTTATATGTTTATTAGAAGGAAATTTGGTCAGCTAGCTGCAGAGATGGAAGGGTTTATCTTTGTTATTTTTCTTAATTCTTTGAAAATAGTGATAAAAGTTTGAATAATTAAACTGAAATATCATAAAAACGGGGAAAATCAATTTTTCATTTTAAAATACTGATTAATAGATCTATTAAAAATCTCAATCTGAATTTAGTCCTTCCTATTTGCTTTTTTTTTTGAGGAAAAAGTGTAGGTTTTTTCATACGTGGTGCTGGGTTGGTAGCAAGCCATATGGATTGCTTTTCAATTCATTTTAACACAAAATATCAGTTCGAGTTAAGAACTGAAATGTACTATATAATATTCTCATAATAGCTAGTAGATAACATTTTCAGCAATTGTATCTGTTTGCTTATCTAGATAATTAGACATGGCATGCTGACTTTCAGATGGCTGAAAACGGCCAGATCTGCAGTGTACTATTAATTTCAGAATTTTTGTGGTGAAATGCAGCTTGATGTTCAATTATTTCTTCCTCTCATACCAAATGTCAATTCTGCTTGTGTGGAATTAGTGATTTGTGAATTAGTCAGTAAATACTAGGTGTGTGCAGTGCCTAATATTTTTGTGAAGCATAAGAATGCCACTAATTTTGTTTTTCTAGAATTAGGCGTTTCCTTTTCTTGCCTTTCTGAAGATTTTTGTTGTTAAGGAATCATTATCTTGAAAAAATAAGGGGTTTTATACCTTTCTGGTTGAAAAGCTTACTGCTTTTAGTTTTTTCAATTTCATAATTACTTTATGGTTTAATGGAGTATGTATTGCTTATTTCTGAGCAATGTATCCGAAAGAAAACCATTGGTCTTTATATATGTCTTCCTGTGTACAACTTGCACAACAGCTGAACGTGCAGTTGCCAGAAGATGCTGTAATGACCTAAGCTGAATGTGAAAGAAGGTTCTGTGTTTTTTGGCTTGATCGTACCAAATGATTCTGTGATTCTAAATCTTTCGTTTTTCTCTTTAGAGACTTGCTGAACTGGTGCAGCAGGATTGCTTACAACTTTGACAGTAGTTCTTCAACCACAGCAGTGAATATTTTTCAGGAGGTGCGGTAAGACTTGATCCAGAAATTGCTTAACCAAATTCTAGCATTGTCTCACAAATCTTGAAATACTCCATTTGGGAATGTGAGATGGGAATTTACATTTGGTTTTATCTGAAGCAGTTGGACAGTAGTTGGAATGTTTGTGGTCCATCTATCAGAGGCTTTCCTTACTACTAGGGAGGTTGTTTGCTGTGTGCCAATCCAGTCTTACTATTGTCATACAAACAGCATGCTGCAACATCGTTTTAACTGGTATGAGCTGGGATTGCATATGACTGAGGAAAAGTTTTAAGATCTTTCCTTTTTTTTTTTTTTTTTTTTTTTGTAATATGAGGCTTCTTCCCTACTTGCCTATACATCAGTTTACGTTCCAGGTTTGGAATTTTTCAGGTGTTCTTCAGTCAGAGGTAGTTCTAAGGTGTGAGATCTTAGAGTGTTACATCTTTGTGCGTTTTGGTCCATTCATCTAAAATTAGCTTCTGTAACTGGGTGGGCATTGAAAAGTTTTTACTTTCAGCAGAAACCCACTACATTACAGAGTTTAGAAGTTCTTATTTTACATCCTTTTGAACTCCATTGTTTAACTCGATATGTGGACAGTGAAATAATTTTATTTACCATGACTGGATTGGATTCGGGCTCATGTAAATTCAGATGGTGCTTGTCAGATCATATCACTCAAAATTTGTATTGAAGAAGTTGGTTTATTTTCCCCTTGACAGGCGTTGGACTGTTTCACAGCTATGCTGTCAAACCAAGGGAGCAGACAGAAAATGGCAAAAGTTATTGGAAGTAAACTAAACATTTCCAAGAAAAAGGTATGTTGAGCTACAATTAACATGATGTTTATTGGTAATATTCTATAACTTGCAATTTTTCTAGTGATTAATTTAAATGTGTTCTGTTATTTTTGTTAAAATTTATGCCCATCTCTCTGTCTCAAACAGGTTCTTTTGCTCTGTACTATCCTGGGATCCATGCTTTTCTCCTGTTTTATTCTCAGCTGCATTTTTTTTCTCTGAAAGTTTCAGTAAACCTGTTTCAGAGCAGATTGCAAATGGTGTCATCATGCAAAAGAACGATCGCACAGCTGGAATGGCACAGTTGCTTAAGCACATGATACTTGCTAGATGCACAGAGTAGTAAAGAAGGTGTTTTTTCTGTGGTGGTTACAGGGAACTTCAATCGCTTAAACAAAGGGATCAGAGAGAAACATGATCTTCCTCACTACTTGTTCTGTACTGATTGACTTCAAAATGAAGTACCCCTCTAGACCTTAGTAACTCTCTATATATTAATAGTGTGTGATAGAACTTGCTAAGTTAAACTAAATTGTTACTTTGTCAGCTATTTCTGACCATAGAAGTTTGATTGCAAAGAAAATTCACTCCTATGTTACTTTAAGATGAAAAAACTTGCCAGCTGGGTGGACAGATGGACCCCTGAAACTTCTGTGGGTTTTTCTGTTTGTTCTTCTTCCTTTGTATTACTTCAGTACAGGAATGTATTATCCTCTGCCAGTGGCAAAATATCCTTGTTTACACAGAGGTATTCACCAAGGGTTTTTTGAGGGCAGTTGTTTGTTTATTGTTAGTTAAGATAGCTGTTCCCAGGTTCAGGTTTATGTAGTTGAACTGCCATGGAAATAGACGAAGTAGAAATATAGCGGCATAAAATGCAGAAGAGAAAATCTTACCATGAAAAATGAGCTTGCTGCAAAGTAATACTGGTAGCATAGCATGGGTGTCCTTAGTGTGATTTTGTAGGCAGCATTAGTATTGGAAATGTTGATGCTTTCTTTGCAGGTCGAGTTCTTTTGTGAACTCTATAAACCGGAAATTCTAACACGGGAAGAAGAAGTCTCTGTTGGAAGAGTGCGTCTCATGAAGAAACAAACCCAGGCTCTCACTGTACAAAGGTAGAATATCTTGTGGTTTCCATGTGAATCGAAATATTTTGTGGTGGAATAGAATAGATTGGAAGTCACTGGATTAAAGAAGAATGCAAATTGGTTGTTCTCACTCTGATGGAAGGAATGTGCTGAGTTCCTTCTCTTGTGATCTGAGTTTTGCCTTGTGTATCCTTAAGGCTGTCTGCATTGTATTTCTGGCAGCCAAAGCGTTTTTCAGCTTCTATTGAACTAGAGTTTCTTCAAAGCAGTGTGGATTCACAGTTGTTATAATAGGATTTTCAGTAAAGCATTTGACACAGTCTCCCACAGCATCCTCGCAGCTAAACTGAGGAAGTGTGGTATGGATGATCGGGTAGTGAGGTGGATTGTGAATTGGTTGAAGGAGAGAAGTCAGAGAGTTGTGGTCAATGGGACAGGGTCTAGTTGGAGACCTGTATCTAATGGAGTCCTTCAGGGGTCAGTACTGGAACCAGTACTATTCAATATAGTCATCAATGACCTGGACGAGGGGACAGAGTGCACCCTCAGCAAGTTTGCTGATGACACAAAACTGGAGGGAGAGAGTGACACACCAGAAGGCTGTGCTGCCATT